TGGGCCCTTCCTGACTCCCCTTTTATCGTATCCAGCCAAGTATAGGCTGAAGAATGGCTTACAAGCCCGCTGCCATCACGCTAATCATTGATTTCATCACGCATCGTGACATGGTAACTCGGGTACCTGGAGCTAGTCGTCAGAAGAACACGCAGGCCGGGGTGAGCAGGTGAGACATATTTTGTTCAGGAGGCTGCAGCAGAGTCTTCCCGGGCTGGCTTATGGATCACCAGTCAGCAAAAGATGTGTCGTGCCAACACACGACAAAACCTGATAGCACGGTAGATAAGCGATTACATACTGGATCTGCTCCCTGCGCCTGCACAGCATCCTCCTCGACTCCCCTAGTCATCTTCCTGCGGAAGGCTCCGCTCTTGACCACAGCCCATCCAGACGATCACTTTGAACTAAGCATCAGCAAAGACTTAACTCTTCAAGGGGAACTCCTTCTTTTTTAAAAAAAAATCATTTTATTGGGGGCTCGTACAACTCATCACAATCCATCCACCCATCCATTGTGTCAGACACGTTTGTACATTTGTTGCCATCATCATTCCCAAAACATTTGCTTTATACTTGAGCTTCCTCCCTCATGAGCCCATTTACAAATGATTATTATTATGTCATGTCTTACGCTGTCTGATGTCTCCCCTCGCCCACTTTTCTGTTGTCCGTCCCCCAGGGAGGGGGTTATATGTCGATCATTGTGATCAGTTCCCCCTTTCTCCCCCCACCTTTCCCTTTCACTCTTGGTATCACGACTCTCATGATTGGTCCTGAGGGGTTTATCAGGGAACTCCTTCTTATACTTAAAAAAAAAAAAAGATTTTAATATACTTTATTTGAAAAGCACACGGTTTTAAATTGGGTCAATGGTTTCTGAGGGAAAGGGACACAGCCCTTTCCTGTCAGTCCCGCTGCTGATGAAGGATGACTATCAGGTGGCAAACTCACATTCACATACCTGGCAACGTAAAAAGATGATTTTTTTTTTAATTTATTATTTTTATTTATTTATTTATTTTTTTAAACGATGATGTTTTAAGAGTTGTTATCACGCACGGTTTAAAATCATGAGCTGCTGATGGTTGGACTGTATTTTATGTCTCCTGCGCTGCACCACCGTGTGGTCCACAGCTTATCCATGATTTTCGCGTGCCAAGAGGACAGCTGAGGCAGCATCACCCTGAGAACAGCATCAAAGGCAGAGGGAGCAGAATCACGACCCGAGGGGCCCAGAGACGCCATGCTCCCCCACGGTCCTTGCCGTTCCCCTCAGAATGAAAGCCATGACAAAATTCTGGCGTCTTTGGCTCCTCCGGGCCTTTCACACTTAAGAGAGTCATTAAACCCGATTTCAACGGGCGCCATGGTGATCGGGGCCGTGGACTCACAGAGGCTGCTGCTGTCCTCCACCACCATGGACACATGGCTGCTGGATGACCAAGGACTTGGGGCTGTCTTCACAAGCAATGTTCCCTGTGGTCTCCTTGAGGGTGCGCTCAGAGACAAACACAGGGTGTTCCCTGTCACAAGGTTCCAGGTGTGCGTCCCTTTCTGAGCTACGACTTCAGAGCCAGCAATGAGGCAGAGAGGCTGCGCTGTGCCGCAGTGGGGCCTGGAACCACTGGAGGCCCCGCTGTGCCGCAGCATGTGGCTGAAACTCCCTGCACTGTGCTTTCCTCCTGTTTCCACTCCTTATCTTATGAACACCACGTTCTGAGGCTAAAGCAGCCATTTGTAAAGGGGGGTGGGGAGTGGGAAGCAGGTGCCTCCTCAAGCCACAGGGATTAAACCCATCTATTTTCCCCCCTCTTGCTCGTGTATACAAGCGGAGCAATCACTGAATGTGAAGATTCTATCACTTTTCCCACACCCACGTGCGCCTCTTTCACAATTCCATGTAGGAGAAGCATTCAATGACCATAACGCAGTACATAAACACGCCACCCTTAACCCTTTTAATGACACCCACATTGAACCGTTTCTCCACCCCTCGACTGTGTCTCCATTTGTGTGCATAGGACCTTGGGCCCGTAGCAGGTTGGATTCAGTAGGCCCTGGCCCTCTACAAACCAGGTATTGCTTAATCAACTCGACTTTTTTCCCCTAGGCAACTCCAGCAGCAGCATTTTTTCCCTCTCAGTTGCAGCATATCATTCCCCCCTTTTTTTCCATCTCGTTCTTTACGCTTCTTCAGGTAACAATCGCATTCTAGGTAACCACAACCGAAGTAGCCAACAAAAGTCTCCCTTCCCACGCCCCTCATTCTTTCTCTTACAAAACCCCATGCTTCCGTTGAGTGTAGAGCCTCTGGAAGGACTCTCACACTCCTGACATCAACGGACTTTCCATCAGTCGTCACAATTATGGGGTCTTGCTGGCCCACGGAGCTGGCGCTAAGTGCCTTCAGCCTGAGATTTATGGTGGAGTAGTGTAGGGAACAGAAAAGTTGTTCCCCAGGTTGTACCCCCCATAACATATGCCAAGCCTATGGTGCTGTTTGCCCACACATGGCCTCTGACTATACATTTAGAGGTCAGCTGCCTGAAGGTTATCAGCCATGTAGAGCAATCAGACCCCACAGTCTGTCCCATCCTAAGTAGAGCCCACTCCCTTCTGATAAGAATTAGGGATTGTTCCCCTGAAGGAGAGCCCAAAGATGACTATGGTCAAGCCAACCCAGGGATGACCAAGGTTAGGCTGCCATCTTGACTCTAAAGCCGCCCACCTGTCTTGTTATGTGTATGCCTTCCTGTCACATGTAGGCCTATTGTACAATCCCTTCCTGTTACGCATGTGGCTACCTGTAATTAGGGGGGCTTGCGTGCCTCCTAAGTGTATATAAGCTTGGTTGGAAATATATTCTCTCTGCGCAAATCTGCCTGCTGAAATCATGGCCGTCCCGAAGGTGAGCACTCTGACACAACCGCCCCTTGGATCCATTCGATTGTGGGGACTGGTACTCCACAGAGTAGTGGGTTAGGCCTAGTTGACTAGAGAAATAAAGCTAGGGACACTCATATATGTATAAGAAAGAGCTTTATATCAAAGAGTAATTGTATATCAAGAAAACATATCAGCCCAGTCCAGATCAAGTTCATAAATCCAATACTAGTCCATAAATTCATCTTCAGACTCACACAGCACATGCAATGATGCCAATTCAGGAAGATCACAGGTCAGTGGGTGAAAAGTCTTCAGGATCCACTGGCGGTAGAAGCATCTCAGCATGGTTGCGGGTCTCCATGTGGAGCTCTCTGAGTGTGGCCCCTCAACAGGAAGCTGAAGCAGATAGAGAGTGTGGCCCACCTCCAGGGGGAAAGAGAGGAAGTTCCCAGAATCCTCATGAGAAGGCCACGCCCATAAGGAGTCATCATCAGGCTGTGCCTGACTGACAGGCTAGCCTCCACCCCTATACTTATTTATCAAGTAGACATGAAATGATGTAGCCACCACAAGTAGCATGCTCTTCAGGCATTTATTGGCAGCCCTAAGAGAGCTTTGTAACATTGCCCAAAGGAGGGTTGAGGCTTGGCTTAGGGTCTGAAAGCCAGAGAGAGTTCTGCCTGCAGATATAGCAGAGAAAACTGTCCTGGATGAACTACTGTATCCTGAGCCCATCTCACATGAATTATCATGTTAGCTTCCCTAATGAACCCCATATAATTGTGAGTATTGTTTGTGGCATCTGTGTGGCCATTGCAATGAATTATAGAACCCAAATTGAATAATACCCAAATTGAATCCCCAAGCAGAAGAGAGCGTGGGGAAAGCAGAGTGCCATGGGAGGAATTGTTGGTGTTGGAATCAGGTTAAGAAGGACGGAGGGTGGAAGCACTTACGGCCCCTGCTTTGTAGCAATCAGCCTTGGGAGATGGAGGGGTCAGAGTTGGCATGGATATTGTTTCCTCTGCTGCTAATTAGTCTGTTAACTTATTTACATATGTGTCTTCTGTTCTACATAGCCTGTTTGCCATTAGGCATCAATATGGAGGTTTCTAGCTTACAAAGATCATCTTACTGCTGAACACAATAGGCAGTTTTGATTTCATGAGTGGGTGGGTGGGTTATGGAATGCACAAAGTCTGAGTGGTTTCTGACACCCTTGCTTTCTTTAATAATCTGTTGAAAAACAACAACCACCTGAGATGTCTGGATGCAACCACCTATAGAGCGGAAATGAACGAAACTGTTGCCCTCCCCTTTTGTTCATGTCATCAAATGGCAGATGTCTCAGTAACCATGCCCCTGTTGATACAGCAATCACTGACATTCAAGGATGTGGCTGTGAACTTCACCCGGGAGGAGTGGCAGCTGCTCGACCCTGCTCAGAAGACCCTGTACCAGGATGTGATGTTGGAGACCTACAGCAACCTGGTGTCCATTGGTAAGGGGAGCTCTCTCGTCATTGGCCTTCCCCTTCTCCGATGTTGAAGTCTTACGTGTTTGTTCTAAAGGGGCAGATTCTTAGTCTGCCCTCTGACTCGATAACTGGGTATCTTCTCCCTACTCCTGGTAGGGAGACCTTTACAATGTGTTGTTGAAAAAATAATTTCCCCTGCCCCCAAAATCTGCCATATTCACCAACCGAAGGGCCGTTTGATTTATCTAAGGGTCTGTGATTTCCCACCAACAGGGCATCAAGTTAGGAAACCAGATGCCCTCTCCAGGCTAGAACGAGGAGAACAGCCATGGGCTATCGTGCACAAAGGCGCTAGTGGAATCTTCTCAGAAGAGCGAAGAAAAGTAGGTAAGTTGGGGAGGTTGGGGAAGTCATATTCCAGTGGGAAAGGGCTTCATCTCTGTGAGGGGAGTCTGAGAATATACAGACACAGGAGCAGGGTCAAAGGTAGCAAGGTTAATGGTGTGCCCGTGTGGAACCAGCTCCCTTCGTTACCATATCTGTCATGACCTCTGTGGGTCACACTCACTTACTGGTTGTCCTCACCACCATAAGGTCATTCTAACTTTGGTTCCATAAGTAACAACGAACTGCTCACATCCATATTAGGAAGATAAAAAAAAATAGCCATAGCTTGGGCCAGGCACCTTAGTCCTTAAGGTGGGATCTTTCTTTTATTTAACACTTTGCAAGAGGTCTGTTGTAACCGAGTCTCCCAGTGCCGTTATATCATTTGATTTCTTGCCTGCTGTTCCCATGGGCTTTGACTGTGGACACAATAAAATGGAATTATTGGTAACTTTGGCCTTGTCACCAAATGCCTAAATGTGAATGGTAAGAATTTGTAAGAATTTGGGGAATGAATGAATCTTCCCTTCACAAATGGGGATCAGGAAGTTTTGGTACCTCTCTCCTCTCTGGGTCACAGTACATGTATTTAGTAAATTAATTATTTATTTTTAACCATCCATCATTGTGGCAAGCACATGTGTACATTTGTTGTTGGTTTTTTTTTCTTTTGTTTTTTTAATTTAATTTTATTTTTTAAACATTTTATTAGGGGCTCATACAACTGTTATCCCAATCCATACACACATCAATTGTGTAAAGCGTATTTGTACATCATTT